AATCTATAATAAAAGCTTAGTTATTACTAATTAAACTAAAAATATTAATCTTTTTATTTATATTATTATAATAAATCATTAAATTATTGTTCTTTTTTAAATAATTTTATTATAAATATAATTTAAATTTATTATTTTATTATTAATTTTTTAGAAAAATTAGTAAAATACTTTTTATCTTTTTGTAAATACTGAAAAGCTTAATTTAATTAAATTAAAAATAAGACTTATAAAGTAAAACTAATATTTATTAATAAATTTATATTTTTAACTTAAAATAATTAGATAAATTACTAAAATTTAACTAATTTATTAATTAGTCAATAGAAAGCTGATAATTTAAATTCAAGATCTTTTGTAATTTAGAATTAAACTATAATATTTTTTAATATTTTTTATTATTAAAAATTTATTATAATTTAAATTATCCTTTACATTATAATAATAGTTTTTAAAACTGCTTTCATTTTAGCCTATATATAAAAAATAAAAAAAAATAGCTAATATTTAGATATAAATTCAAATATATCTTAGCTTCTTTTATATTAATCTTTTTATTACTAAATTATTATTTTTTTTTTTTTTTTTTTTTTTTACTAAATTATTATTATCTTCAGAATTATTTTATGATAATTTAAATTTATTATCAATATAATAAACTGATTTTTTCCTTTCAATTTGATAATGATTTACTGATTTTAGGAGAATCATTATCTATCATATATTATGGCATACAGTATCTTTAAAAATAATACACCTTATAATTAATACCTAAATACTATATATTATTTATGTTAAATTAATTACAAATAGTATCCAAATATTTTTTAAAGCTAAACTTTATGAAAATTATGAAAATTGATTAATACATCATTTTATATAGTAACTTCAATATTAATTTTTCTTATTACTTAAATATTTTTTATAATTTTTATATAAAAAAAGAAAAATTATTAAGTTATTTTTAATATTTGTAAAGTGTGAATTAAAAAAAACTATATTATTATAATTTCATTTTTAGCTATCTTAACATTTAAGTTAAAAAGGCTGTGAGAATTAATTCTACATATTGAAGTCTCTGACCTTAGAATTTTTCTAAGTCTTATAGGTATTTATTATATTTAAATTAATTTAGTAATTTATTATATCTTAGAATTTAAATATATTAGTCAAACTCATAATAATAAACTTAATAATGAATTAATATAGGATATTATAATAAATCCCATATGAGGAATAATATTAAAAAAAAGTAATTTATGTAGATTTAAATTGATTCTTTTATTAATAATTTGAAATTCATAAGAAACTTATAAATGAATTAATATATAACTTAAACAAAAAGCTATTTTATTTATATAATACTATAAATTAATTATTTTAATAAAAATAATAAATATAACAAAGACATTTAAAAATAAGAAGTTATTCATTATCATAATTATAAATAAAATTCATAATATCAAAAGAATTAGATGAATTTAGTCAATTAAATAAATTATATAAATCTTTAATATTTTTTTGATTTACTTATTACAGTAATTGTTGATCATTATTATGTATTATTTCTTAATAGTTTTTATGTGATATTTTCTGCATTTGTGATAATGTCTATTTTTAATACTAAAAAATTTATATAATAAGAAGCAATTAGAGAAGAAAAGTAAATTTAATTTTTTGATATTTATTTATTAAAATTATATAATTGTAACTTCTATATATAGTATTCTCTGTATATTATATTCTTCTTAAAATAGTATCTGATTCTCATTTAATATTTATAAATATTATTCAATTTAAAAAATTACATTTTAATTAAGATTTTAAGTATTATATACAGTAGTATATAATAATTGCCTAAACAATTTAGGCAATCATATTTTTTTAAATTAGTCAAGTCTTAAATATTAAAAAAAAAATTAATTATTGTAAAATATTAGGAAATTAGTATATGAATTTTTACCTTTCTTACAAAATTATCATTTTTTTTGCTAAAAATTTTATTAATTTAATAAAAAATTAGTTTTCCTTTTTAATTTTTTATTCTTTTTCAAGAAATCAGAATTTTTTCATTCTAATTTTTTGATCTTTTTGTGAGATTTATCAATTTTTTCTTTTAATTTTTATTTTTTTATATAAAATAAATAAATATATTATTAATATTATAAAATAATAAATAGAAATAAATTAAAAATAATACCTGATTCTAAATTATCAGAATCATTGAGATTTTCACTTTCAATTAAACTAAAATACTTATTGTTGATTTTTGTTTAAATTTCAATATTATTCAAAAGGTTTACACAAAAGTTATAAGTTATATCAAATATTTTATTAATAAAATTAAGAAAAATAATAATATAAGAAATTAAAAAAGAAAGAGATTAATCATACAGTTAACTAAAAGTTATTTATATTCTATTAGTAAACTGATTAAATTGTATTTAGCAACTGATAGTTACTTTTTTATTAAGAATTTAGTTCTATTTATATATTTTTAATATAAATCTAATATAATATATGTTAGGTATACTTGATATATCAAATATATCAAATACCGTATAGTTCTGAAAATAAGCATCCTGTGATACGCTCTTTTTATAGTAATTTATTTATTTGCATATGGAATTTATTATATTATTAGTCATATATATATTGATAAATTCATATATATTACATGGTGTTTATTTTTGGGACTATACGGTATGTTAAATATATTAAATATATCAAATATATTAGATATATTTGACATTTTGATCTATATTTTCTTACATTATATAAATTAATATATCTATTAAGTCAATCATATTATCAATATCACTTATATAACTATTTATAATACATTATGTAGATTAATTAAGTTATGATAGTTCAGTTACATATCAATTTAATTTATCAAAATTTTCATTATTTTTTAATAACTTTTTAAGCTTACTTTCATTTATTTACTTCATTTTAATATTAAAATTAGAATAAATTAGAATAAAAAATAAATAAATAATATAAATTTTATTTAAAATATTAATAAAAATATCTTAAATATTAAAAAATATTAATTTTGATTATGTATTATTATATATTATAAGTCTAATTAGTTAAAATTTTAGTAATATTTGATATAAATTTTAATAATAATTTAAATTTTGATATAATTAAGCTATTTATATTATATATTTATAAAATTAATTAAAAAATTTTTTTAAATATTTTAATTTTTATAAAAGTAAATCAAATTAAAATTTATAATAAATAAATAGGTAAATTTATTTAAACTCCTATAATCTAAAGGATAATTTTGTTAAATCTAATATTATATTTAATAAGTAAATAGTTTATAATATAAATTTATTGTAGATTTATATATTTATTAGGAAATTAAAACTGTTATTAAGTTTAAAACAAAATAATTTATTTGATATTTGTTTTATCTAAATTTTATACAATTATAAAAATCAATTAGCATTGACTTAATTATTAAATAGACAGATATTAGGATATTTTACATAAAAATATAGTTTTTCATTTTATTTTAGACTAATTAATATAAAATTATTAAATATAAATAATTTATATTTTTCTCTTAATATTTAAAAAAGAAGTATTAAAAGTTTTAACTAATAATTTAGATATATAATATATATTTATTAAAAGTTTATTATTTTTGTTATTAATACTTAAATATTTATTCTTAATTAAAGTATCTGGTTTAATTAAATAATATAACAATATTAAAGAAAAAAATTATAAAATTAAAAATTTTAAAGATATTATAAAATTGAATAAATTAACATTCATATTATTTGTAAATAATATTAATATTTTAATGATAGAAAATATATCTTTAGATAATAAAATGAAATATATAAAAATTTTTAGTTAAATATTTTTAAATAATAGTAATTATTTACAAAAAAAATAAAATTGTTAAAATGATTAATATATTAACTTTATGTTACTGCTGATCAAATTGTAATATTTTGACTTTTTTAATATTAACTGATTTTTTAATCATATTAATAGATTATTTAAAATTAAATTAAACCTTTCTTTGTTTGTAATAATAAATCATTTAATTGATTAAATATATATTTACCAAAAAGTTATTATTAGTAAAAATACAGATCTTTTATATTATATTCTTTAACTATTAAAAGCAATTAGTTGTCCATTATTCTTAACAGGTTGAAATGTTATCTAATCTGATTAGGATTAAGCAAATTAAACAAATTGAACTAATTATTTATTTTAATAATTGGTAATTAAAAGTTTTATTCTAATTATTAAAATGAATCAAATAATGGAAATTTTTTATAACAATTAGTTTATCGTTAATCATGTTGATCATTTTTCGAATTTCATAAATTAATAATTAATCCGTAATTTCACAAAAGGGTTGTTTCAATTAATTTTTTATATCAATTATATTCGTTTTATCGCAGTAATTCTTTGACATTGGTTAGATCAGATTACCTGATCTGAATTTTTTTCACAAATCATGTTTTTAATTTTACCCTTACAAATCTATCAATATATTTGAACATCTCAATTTTAATTGAGTAATGTTACACGAAGTTCCTTTTATAAAGGAGTTATTATTGAAAATAAAAAAAAAATTTTTTTTAAATGTTGGTGCAAATCGGCTCGATATAGTTTGGTTTAAAAAATGACACCTTAACGCGCGTGTATAGCTTTGTTCATTTATAGATGTAATATCCGATTTCTTTGTTTTAATACTATCATTCAATATATATCAGATCAGCTCGGAGTTCTATAACAAATAGGTAGGAGTTGATTTTTTCACGATTTCTCATGATTGTGATTTTAATCTTAGCAAAATATGACAATTTGGCACGTGGAATTCAATTGATTCATCATTTATTGAATTTAATATAAAAATACATCAAATTTCTTCAAAAGAAGGAAAAAAAAAAATATCAAATAATTATAAACCAAATAATTTTGATATTTTTAATTCTTTACGATATAATAGAAAAAAACAAATGTCTGTAGAAAATCAATCAAATTATGTTACAACCGTTGAAAAATGGGAAAAAATGGCCGATGGTGTGGAAATATACACAAAGACATGGAAGGTAATCCTTAACATGGTTGGTTCTTTATTTCTCCAGATCAAAGGTTAATTTTTTTTTTTCCTTTTTATTAGTCTGCCATTGATCCCCCAGTTGCAACTGTCATAGCTTTACACGGATTCGGTGAACACGTTAACCGCTATAACTATGTATTTACAAAGTTCGCTATAAAGGGAGTTGATGTTTTTGGTTTTGACCAACGTGGATTTGGTCAAACTGCTGTTCGTAATAAAAATCCTGGTCAGACTGGTGGCTGGAAAGTTGTCACTGAAGATATTACTAGATTCCTAATTATGAATAGACGTCCGGGCATTCCTCAATTTATATTTGGTCATAGTATGGGAGGCGGGCTTACCGCTAATTATGTTTCTGTTGGCCCAGAAAGACATAATTTAGCCGGTGTCGTCTTATCTGCTCCTCTAATTGAATTAGCTCCCCGATATCAAGTACCAAAACCCAAAGTTACTATAGTTAATGCTATATCAAAACTTATGCCTAATTTAACTATTCCCGTCAACTTGGATAAATCGTTTATCAGTCAAAATCCAAAAGAAGTTGAAATATATGAGAAAGATCCTTTGATAATTGGTATTGGTTCATTACGTGGTCTTGGTGATATGATTCTTGGCATAAGAACAGTTATAAAAGAAAAATATAAGAACATTACATTACCTATTTATATCTGTTTTGGTACTGCTGATTCAATTAATAGTTGTGATGGTGCAAGAGAATTCTTTAAAAAACTTCCTTCCAAAAATAAAACTTGGCGTGAATACCCCGGTCTTTATCATGAACGTAAGTGAAAATTTTCACGAATAAATAAACAATATCAAATTTCTAACGGTTATTATTATTATTTCTTAGTGCATCGTGAAGATGATAGGGATATGATTATTGATGATTATCTTAATTGGATATTAAAGAGAGCTGCTTCCTCAAGCTCTGATGATAGTATTCAGATATCTACTTCAAAAAATAACTCAGTTCCTTCTCCTTTAGCTCTTGCTTCTGTATAGTTTAGAATTATATACGTTCGATAAATTTAATGTAAATTTTAATTTAATTTTAATTTTTTTATTTGTTATAATTAAAGAACACCTTCATACAAATTTAAAGTTTGACTTTCTCATATTTTATTATAAATCAATACACTTCTAGAGCAAAACTCACCTTCCCTTTCGTCCCTACAAAAGTAAACAAAAAAATTAGCTTTATTTCATTATATAAAAAGTTTTCTCTAAAGAAACCCACCTGATAAAGTCCTGTATAATACCCAGAATAATACCATGCCATTATTAAGTTGGACAATGCTTCATCATCTATATAATAAATTTTTTTTAATGAATATATCTTATTTAATAACGATTTCTATTATGTCTAAAAAGAAACATTACCAAATCCAGGTATTGGAACTGGTGCCTATAAAATGTAACTATTTAAATTCTTGAATCACACATAAAATAACTCAGTTGAAAAAAAAAAAAAAAAATCGGTCAAACCTTTGGTGGAATATTAGGATCCTGGTATGGAAAGGGAAAGAAAAATCACCTTAAAACTTTTTTTTTTTTTAAAAAAAAAAAAAAGAAAATCTTATATAATAATATACATACATTTACGGTAGGCTGAGGATATGGTGGATAAAATTGATGATGTGGACCTCCTGGTGGTGGTGGTGGCGGCGTATAATAATCGGGATAATAAGTACCATGTGAATGATCTCCACTGTAAAACGAATCATGAACATTCGTATGGGATGTAGGATTGGCATCGTTATCCGGTTGAGGTTTAGACGGTTTAGACTATATAAAATTAAAAAAAATTTTGCTTTGATTTCTTTTTTTTGGCAAAGATAAAAAAAAAAAATATCTAATAAAATTCTCGAAATTTGCCTGTCTCGTTCCTTTGACCTTTCGTTCAGGCGATTCGTGAAATTTTCGTATTTGTTCATTGACTATATCTTTCTTAACAAATTCAGATGTGGAGGCATCTTCATTTTCGTCAAATGTATCTGGTTGTACGAAACTTTCAAACGTGTTCTCTTTGGTTATATTAACTAACCTCTCCATTCTAAAATCAAAAACGATGTACATCTGCACTGTTTAGTTGACATTAATTATTTAATATGTAATTGTAAAACAAGAAATTATAATCATTGCTTTTTTCTTACTTATTCAAGTTTTCTGAAGCAGCAGGCGTTGTGTCGGAAATGTCATTTTCCGCACTTGATTTGCTGGTGCTTGCTTTGATACTATGAAAATCCTGTGGGAAAATAAAAAAATATATATATATATATAAAGTTTATATATGTTAATATACAAAAAAAATGAATCATATTTTAATGTTATAAGTGGGTTTTAGGAATTTGGAAGAACTAATAACTTCAAGGACTTCAATACGACTAGTTGCCTGAAATTCCTTCACAGCGAGATCCCAAGCGGCTATTAATGCGCTGTCATCCCACGCATCTCCTTCCTATTAAGAGAAGTTGATAATTTATTAGCAATATATATTTACATATTTTTTATATCGAATTAAAACTTAGTTATCACCTCGTCTTCGTCGTCATCCAAGTTTTCATCCTCTACTTCTTCATAATGCTCATTATTTTCATCATAATAATCCATATGTTTACGTGACTTGGAATCTTAGATTCTTGTGAAGTTAGTTCTTGAGGGGAGGATTCTGAAGAGAGTGCCAAGATTTCAATTCGTGAAAAAGTTATTCGAGAAGTTGATCCAACACCGATCTTATGAAAATTTGTTGCTGCAACATGATTGGCTTGGATACAAAAGATAAGATGTTTAAAAAAAATAAAATAACGTTTATTATGACTTTTATAGAATAGATTAAGATATTTTGGGTAAGATACACAATCATGTTTTTCACACGCCATGCAAACATAGTAGCAGATGATTAAGATTAAATTTACCAATCAAAATTTCAAATTCGTCCCAATTCTCTCTTTCTCTCTCTCTCTTTTTTTTTTCTTTTCAAAAAAAAAAACCTTCACTTTTTTTTTATTTGGTTTAAAAGTTTAAAAAGACAAATTGGTTTTGTCTAATTAACAAAGAACTAAAAAAAAAAAAATTATTGGTTTTAAAGATTTATTTTAAACACATTTTAGCTACTTGTATTACTCAGTTTGATAATACTCGAAAGAATTTAATAATGACTTCTCATAATTTTCAATCCAAACGCCTTCCAGCACATCATTCAACACATCCAGGATTTCACTCTCGAAAACAACAAATACTATCTTCTTTAACATCTTCAGACCCTTCTTCCAGGATAGATAAATCTCCGAAAGGGTCCATTGATGAAGCAATTTTACCTTTAATAGAATTATTGAATAGACATGATGATTATGTTACAACCAGTAGTTGTTCCGGAAGAGTTGCAATTTATTGTGCTGGTAAAGGAATAAAGAGACATACTAATAAATTTTATGCTTCTAATAATCAAGTTCATGATGATATTGATGAAATTGATACTAACGTTAAGGATGAAGAATTGGAAGTAAATGACGTTGACGACGTGAGACATTCAACAAAAGGTGGGGGAAGATGGTTGTTCGTTACTCATTCACACGTCGACTTACCAAAGGAGTATAACAAAGAAAAATTAAACGAATTCTTGTTGAAAACGATTTTTGGCATCGAACATGTTAATGTAATATCGTTGACCGATCATGATTGTGATTATAATAACTTGTTAAAAGATGATGATAATAATCGGATGATTTATTTCAAATTTGAACCCATGGTCAGTAAACCAAATTTATTCTTGGTACTTTGTTATTTTTTATTTTTATTTTATTATATATCTCTTTTTTTAAAAAAAAATTTTCATCCGTTTAGATCCTACATGTAGAAGCAAGAACGTTGGATGCTGCCAAGAATTTAGTCACTTCGGCCATTGATACTGGTTATCGTGAATCAGGTCTTTTGACGACTGCAAAAAGGCACATGGTTGTTATTCGAAGTTCCCTGAAATTAGACGCACCTATCGCACGTTTAGATCCCACAGACCAAAAGTTATACCTTTATGTGGATTTGTCTTATTTGTATTTACTAGTCACGTTGAGTAACCGGAAATTTGATGAAAATTCAAGAAAGATAAAGGAATTATATAAGACGATCGAAGATCATCTTTTCGCTGGAATTGGAAGTGGCGAAGATGTAATCAAACGATGCACTAAAGAGACTGGAAAGACGTGGGAACACAAGGAAGAAAGAAGAGAAAGAAAACGAAGAGAAGGACTAGCAAAACAATTTGGATTAAGAAAAAGTGGTACCCTGAGTGATGGGAATGATGGCGATGTGTCAACTGTAGATGACGAGATTCAAGGTTTAGATAATGCTTAAATTAAGAATCAAAAAACTTTATTTATTTGAAAAAAGGAATTCGTGGTGATATCCTTTACAAAATAAATGGTCCAGGATCAAAAATAAATAAATAAATAAATATAAATAACCAACGATATCCGTATCACGAACATATAAATAATTTATAAATAAACAATATTAAATAATTATCACTATAACAACTTCCCTATTCCGAATTAAACCATTTTTTTACCCATAAACTATCTAATTATCTTAGTGGACTAAATGGAAGAGGGGTCAAAATGTTCGTTTCCATTTTACGGATCAACCGCACTGTCAAACGGGATAAACAAGTCAATAATAAAATTGAATAAATAAATATGATACATATATTTTTTCTCACCCGTTTTATAGACGGTTTCGGCCCATCCATCCACCTGCCACGCTTGTTCTCGAGTTATTTTACGACTTTCAAGGTCACTAAAAAAAATCAAACAAATTTTATGAAGATTCTTTGAAGGGATTCGTAAATTTAATATCAATTCATTAAACTTACGGATATTGCCACATATGATGTACAAAATTTAAGGCTCCCTGTTATTATTCAAAAAGAATGTGATTATTAAAGGTTGTATTCATAATATCATAATATCTTACATTACAAAAAGAACAACAAAGGATTTAGAGAACTTACCAATTGACAAAACCATGCGCCGACAGGTTCACAAAATTGTCTACGACACTCAAGTCCACGAACCCTAAACGAAGTAAATAGAAGACATCTTAAAACGTTATTTTTGGACCTGGTAACGCGTTTTATAATTACCAATGGGTTTCCCATTCCAATAAATTACCGGGCTGATAAAATCAATATGTAAATATTAAAAAGGTTTTATTCATAAAATCGAGTTACAGTTGAGAAATCTCACCTTGAGTTCATAAGTTCTCAATTCATAAATTCCTCCATTAACAGCTGGTGGACTTGTTTGCCAGAAAGCAAATTCTAGACAAATTTGATTATACCGACTCTGAAGCATAGGGCGTAATTCTTTAATAAATTTCTGATAATGCTGCACAGCAAAGATATCATTAAATTTGTGATTCATTAAGCACTTTAGGAGGAAAAGAAAATAACGAAGGTACAAACGTGATCCTTCTTAAGTCGGTTGTGAGTCTCATCATAACCAGTGTACCCTTGGTACTCCCAGATATGGACTGTAATCGATTAATGTTAATTCGCAACAAATAAAAGAGCAATTATGTTAAAAATGGATCGCTAAAAAAATTTACCAAAAGTATCAAGATCACCAATCTCTGTCTGCCAACTACCACATAAATGGACCGAATTTTCCGGATCGTTTGCAATGCGAGGATAATACTCGGAACTTTATGGAAATAGTTAGTACATATTTTAAATATTAAAGATAAAAACTGTGAGCGATAAAGCTTACATGAGTCTAATATAATCTTCAACACAATCAGGTTTTATTTTGTGTTCTAAAGCGAAAAAGAAAAAAAAAATCCTTTGATTTAAATTTATTTTAATGTTGCCAATAAACCTTTCATTTTCGACCGAATTCTGGTATTAAATTTATACTTTGCAATTCGTGGACATATTTTCCACGCGCTATTAGCTTGGAGTGAGTTTGATTTTCTTCCTCCCGGATGGCTTGTGAGCCATGAAGGATACTCTGTACCAAGGAACTTGCTTTGGACTTGATTTTATCACTATCATTCGAATCGGAATTTTCAGTTAATTTCGTTGAGGTGGTCGTAAAGTAACGGATAACTCTATTTTTCTCGACGAGTTGTTGCAAATTATCTCTTTTAAGGAAAAATGGAGTAACCAAGTTTGATTTAAACAAGTTTTTAAAACCAGGTGATGTTTGAAAACAATAACGAAAGGCTGTCATATTCGAAAATTCGTTCAACTTGCATTTAAATCCATAAAATGAACTTATATATCATCGATTTTTGATTGGAGATCCTTGGATCATATTTCTTATTTTGGTGATTTGTAGGTTTTTATCTTACATGGATCGTCCGTGGGTCAAAGAAAAGTTAAATATATTGCGTCTTATTAAATGTGTACGTTAAAATAGTTAGTTCAAGGCTCACCTGGTGACGGCATAATGACAGCGCACACAACAGATTTCAAACCAGATCAACAAATAAAAATAAATGTTGTATTACCTTACAATATATAAAAACTCATTATATTAGTTGTATCCCTGTGTTGCGTTGTGTTTGTGTTCTTACTTTCCCAAATCTTTTTATCTGAGAAGGCTTATTCCTTTAAAAGCAAGACTCGTAATTTACTTTTTCAAAATGGCCAAACAACCGCCTACCGACATTACGTGTATAAACGAGGTGGACGATATTTCCACTTTTCAAAATAACGATATTGACGTTATTACAAAACCTCAGTTTAATAACGACCTTGTCGAAAAGCTACACAACTCACTATACAACTCACGTAAAGCGACCTGTTCAACGATATATCCGGAATTAACGGAGGGTGAGGAAACGCCCAAGATGGAAAACGGGGACACTGGCAGTAGTAGTTCGAGTGGAGAACATGTCAATGAAGGTTTAACATTATGGAATAGGAGGCGAGAGATGTGGATTAGAGGAAACATGGACAATTCGGGGCCTTCATCCAACCGTAATAATCCAGCATTGGCCAATATCACGCCAAATAATTATCATTCGATATATGATTCGTTGATTCATGAAAAGAAAAAGTTGGCGAAACCAGTTCCGTTGCCTTACGTGGTATGTATGCTTTCCGCATGTGTTTCTTGTAGGTGGGATTCATCTTATTTATTTTCCGTTAGATAAAGATATTAGTGAGCGGATGGAAAAGAGACGGAATTTTGCCTAGTGATCATCCTTCTGGTCCTCCTTCCGGTCCAAACAATCAACACACCCCTTACTAAACATTCATCTTGTCGAGAGCAAAATGCGTTCCAAAAAAAGAAATACCTATCTAGCCGTCTTAATTAACTAAGACAGAGGAATTAATCATCAAGCCAATCACAATTATCTTTTTTTTTTTCCCTTCCTTCTTCCAACCACAGGCCCATGACAACAGAAAATGTCATGGGTAATAAAAGTATTCATGAGAAAAAATATGTTTGATTTAAAATCATCAATTAATCATTTTACTTTTAATTCAATAATATGAATAATTTTTTATTTGATATATTTAATCATTTTAGCTATCAGCTTGCATTATTTATCGTTTTAATTTTAATTTACTGTATTTTTTTTTATTTCACACAAATGTTATCATTCATTATATTATAATTACGAGATTAAAAATTTATTAAATTGTAAATCAAAGAGAATTTTAAGTTACCATAGACATTTCGTATCATTCAAATAAACATACAAAACAAATTTTTATGAGAAATGTTATATTCCAAGAAACATTTTCAATAAGCGCAGCATCGCACAAAAGCAATAATCTTGTACAGAATCATCTTTTTTGCTTTTTTGGATACTGATAAACAAAATTAATTCATGATAAAAAAAGATCTTGCATCTGTGTAGATCCATTTTTGAACCTTCTTTATTTATTTGTTGCTACAAGGAACGAAATTTATATTTATATAGTTTCAAACTTTCCGCAAGTCAAATCACCGAGTTTATCAAAATTCCCGCTTGATTTTGCTCCTGCTGAAATATGATTATATATAGCAATCACCCCTATCATGATGTGTACAATTTAATCCTCTATGAGTAATTTAACATTCCGTGATAAACTCGATATAGACTACTATCTTTTCTAAGCCACCGATAAACTCGTGGTTATGGTGCCAAAAGTATGAGTGACGGATTTCCTTTATAAATTGTGTAATTATTCGCGTTAACCTCGCGTAAGCTTTGTGAAAGGTTAGGTACATGATTATAAATAATTACTGATATAAAACGAAACTTTAAAAAAATTTCTCCTCCAAACAATTCCGTCAAAATTTACCTCCCTGGTTCAATTTATATCTCTTCATAAGAAAGTTAATTAAATGGATCGTCTTAGAGAGCGTCATAACCCTTATCCTGAACGAAAACCTCTTAGTAATGTCAATATCATGAAATGTAAAGTACGTGGTCGTGGAAAAAGTTTAAGAGTTCCAGGTGGAAATATGCCATTTGATAGAAATCCACAGTTTCGCGGTCTTCAACCTCCAAGTCCTTTTTGGGACGAGTCTAAAACATTCGAGCCTTCCCAAGCTCCAATGTTTGACTTTTTTGTAAATGGTAATTTCTATCTTTATTCAAATGATTTTTCAACTGATGATTATTATCGGGGGGGAGGGAGTTTTTTTCTTTTTTTTTTTTTAAGCGTTTACTATTCGTTAAATGTTCGACCAATGTATTTATTACATCAATGTTGTTTGAACTTCCCTCACCAATTTTTCTTATGCGCCAACATTTATTCAAACAGAAAGATACTCCTTTAAGGGTTTTAAGATATTTTACAATCATCGTTGTTAATATTCGAATTGTCGTTTAATAGGGAATGGACCTGGTGTGCAAGACAATAATGTTAAGTTTAATAAGAATGATCCTGCTTTCCTTGAAGCGCGTCTTGCACTTGAACGCCCTTGTCGAACCTTATTCATCAGAAATATTCAGGTATCATCTTAGTTCATTGACCACACAATGAGAAAATTAGAGGTTGATTGGTATAACCATTTTAGATCAAAAGATTTATATAATGTTTTCTTTCTAACTTATAATATTAGTATGGTACCAAAACTGAACTCGTTCGATCAAAATTTGAAGAATATGGAGAGATAAGAGATATCTTTGATATAATTGAAAAGAGAGGAATGTTATTTCTAAGTTTTGTAAGTCGTCACATTTATTACTACCTCTATTTAGTATTTATGTTTGGTGAATTGAACCTTGATGACAATCATAAGAGAAAGACTTGATTCTAATATTTTGACGCGTTAATTCACTTAAGCTTCGTGATTTGAGACTATAAGATATTTCCGATCTTGATTCTTTCAACATTTATTGCAATATCATCATTTGAGACGCGTCAAAGATCGTATTATTATCGGAATATAACGCGCGATCATGTTATACTAACTTTCGTTTCTTTCCTTATGCATGTTTAGTATGACATACGAGCTTCCGAGAAAGCAAAGGTGGAAATGCAGAATTATGAATTTGGAGGTCGCAAGGTAAATAAATGAGCACGATCCATTATTAGTTTAAACCGCGTAACCTTTTTTTTACTTACGAATTAACGTATGATTTATTTTCAGATCGATGTACACTATTCATTGCCAAAGGAGAACGAAGAAATGATATATTGTGATCGGGACAAGAATCAGGTATCCTTGCTGAATTAATTATCATATTATCGTTTTAAATATTGTCGTATGATTTATAAAAATTTTTAAATGATTGTAGGGTACTCTCTTCATAACACTTAAAGAAGGAAAAGCTCCCCTTGATAATGATGCCTTAATACATCATTTTTCTCAATTTGGCGAAGTTAAAGTCGTTCGAGAATATCGTACTCATCCAAAGTAATTATATATTCTATCAATAATTCATATATTTGTAATCGATTAGGATAATATTAATGATCTTTGTTGTAACAGTCAAAGGTTTGTAGAATTCTGGGATAGTCGAGCTTGTACACGTGCTCATGATGCTACTTTGAATGCAGAATACAATGGAGGACATTTTGATTGTAAATTTGCTTGGGACGTATCTGCAAAGTAAGTGTTTAATTTTTTTTCCTGATTTTTTTCACCAAATCAGTTCAAGAAAAAAAAATCAACGCAATATTTATATAATTTTTATTTTAAGACAAAGAGCTGGAAATATAATAAATCGCCTTTCGATAGGAAATGAATTGTTACTTAAACGTCCTGCAGATATTAATAATTTCGAAAGGATTCCATTTCACGAGCATGCCGATGAAAATTTTGTCAACCGGTCAGCCGACGTTGAAGATTTTCTTAATCGATTAAGCCCACAACTTCTTGGTAAGCAAATAATATCCATTCAAATATTTATATCTCTCTCAAATAGTTCATATATTTCATTTCTTTTATTCATTAGCTGGTGAGATGACTCAACGTTACCATGAAAATGGATATCCTAGTGGTAAGTATAAATATATAGTGAAATTCTTAATTGATTAATTTTGATGACTTTGTCTGACGTTACAATCGCAATAGCCCGAGATGTTCACGAATATTCGCCCGAAAATGGATATAATGGAGGTAAATATGCCTAATAAGAATAGACCAACGAATATACCATATGAAATGAAATCTAATTAATTTTAATGTGTACTTTTAGCAGCTTTTCCTTCACCACAATCTTCACAACATTCTTCACCACAAAATCAACGTGTTACACCTCAAACCCAATTCTCTAACGTGAAAACTGAGCCAAAAAGCGTCATTGACTTTGGGCCATTGGTATACATTTGAACAATATAATTTTTATGTTCGTTCATTTTTTCTTTTTTTTTAATTAAAATTTGTTACTTATCTTATTATGAAGTCGGAAACGGAACGTTTGGAGCAAGCCAACAAAGTTCAACAGGTTTGTTAGATTGATTGATATCTTTAAAGACTTTGGTATCTCAAATTAATTAAATTACATGTACGCACATTAGATGATTTCTATGATTGCGGCTACACAATTGGCTCAGGTGACCGCACAAGCGCAAGTCCAGTCCCAACCACAAGCGCAGACCCAAGTTCCGCATTCAAATGTATCATTGTATCCGGGACTTGTTGGAATACCACAAATGCAAAATCATGCAACGTATACACCAGTTAATTGTACAACAATGAGCTCTCAAGTCGCACCTGTATTAAATAACACGGTTTATAATAATGCCTTGGGAATTACCCCAGGCGTTAATCCCGTCGTGAACCCCGCATTTTTAAATGCGATCGTTAATGAGATTAGTGCTGGTCATAACCATCAAACTGTGCAAGCTGCTAATTCAGATAAGAATCATACCGATACCAATCCCAACATGTCACAACCATCTCAAAGATCCAATACGATTCGTGTCAATGAATTGTTGGCTTTATTGGTATGTAAAATAATTAATTACGATATCCTCAGAAAAAAATTTAAAAAATTTGTTTTTCATAGGTTCAAAAACAACAAATTGACGCTAATTCTGTAACGTTGCAACAGCAGCAACAACACTATGTTGGTACTAATCAGTACAATAACAATTACAATACTCAACAACAACAAATTCTTCCCGGTGGATTTCAATATTCTTTAATTCCTCAACAACAGCAAACCTATCAACAGAATAATGTAACAACTTATCCCAATCCATATGAATCATTGACACCACAGAAAATTCAAACCCATCCACCACCGCAACAATTGGCATCATTCACAAATCATTACGATCATTCATCGTCACAAACATCAAATCAACAAACATCCAAAATACCTCAACAATCACAACCGCAAACGCAACAAACTGTTGAAGCTAAACAAACACAATATTAATGAGTAACTTCTCTGTCATTTAAATATTAGAGATGGTTATTTTTTTCTTTAATAATTTTCGAGTGTCATTATTGTAGCATTGAAATTTTATTATTTTCTTTTCTTTTTTTTTTCTTTACACTTTTCAATTCATTCGTGTAAATACGTCTTTTTTTTTTTTTTCATTTGCTTTGTTTTTTTTCTTTCGACGCGACTTAGTTAAGAGGTTTTAATTAATATAGGTAGGTATTATAATAATAGGTAAGGAATTTAAATGTAGGTATAATAAATAGGAAAGAAAGGAATTTGTTTAAAGAAATACAAAAATGGGTTGATTTGAAAGCTAATAAAAAATAAGTTTATAAATAATAATAATCATGCTTTTTAATTTTTTTTTTTATTTTACATACATTCAAGATATATATTACAATTAATTTTCACCAATTTCACTTTCTTATTAAGTATTTATCTTTTGTGGACCTACACCAAAAGTGAATAAACAAGCAATGATAAACGAAGCACTTATACTATACCAAATATAGTTTGGAGAAGTTTTGACGACTATAGAATATAAAGTATTAAATATAATGGGAGCAATTACACGAATGATCGAATCTAATACACCGATTGCACCCAATAATTGTCCTATCTTTGACGGGGCCACTAAATTTGTTTGTAATGACCTTAATGTTGGAATTGACGCCGCGCCTAACGATGCTATTGCTGTGGCTATTTAAGGTAAAAAAAATTTTTTTGAATATTTTAATTTTAATTTTTAATTTTTTTTTTAAAAAAAAAAAAAGAAAAATCTTGCTCACCTCCATAAAATACGGAACTAGATGTCGTTAGACCGAAAGCAATATAAGCGAATGCATCAATAAATAATGACAACCTGATAATCCAAACGTCAAATACCAATTCCTTTCTCATTTGTACCTCTTCACCTTTATTAAGAAGACCATCATCAATAATAAAGATTCGTTCATCAACGATACCAACAGGATCATCGTTCTTCATTGATTTTCTTTGACGAAAAGATTTTTTAAACCTTGAAGCCAAAGCGGGGAATAAAACAAATAGTACGATAACTCTTGTCGTACCCATCATGAACATGACATAACCTTGTTCTATTAATGACCAATTGAACACTAATGTCGTATATAATAAGAATATAGATTGCATGCCAGTCATAGCAATTGATAATAAAGTATTTATGATCACTAATGATAATAATGAACGTTTGGATGCGATGACGGGTATTTTATCAACATGATCATTTTCTTGTCCTTGTTGTGATTCGTATGTAAAGAAGATTGATAATGGTTCAAAGATCCCTTGAACAAAAGAGATGAATCGATTGATCAAAGAACTCCCTGCGTTACCGGTAACTTTTGATGCCTGTTTTTTTGTATTTGCTAATGATCTCTCGGGTGTTAAAGATTCGGGTAAGATGAAAATGAAAAATAAGAACAACATGAAATATATTATGAACATTAGGTAGAATACTGAAAGCAAATTATTCGTGATCTCTGCTATCCATCCTCCTATCATCGGTCCTAATGCGATCCCTATAAACATGGCTCCTTGTAACCAACCAAATACCACGCTCCTAAAAAGTAGGAGACGACGTCAGAAAAAAAGTGGGTGGCGTAGAAAAAGCAATTATCATCACACATACCTTTGCGTCGGAGGAGTACAATCCGCCGAGTATGCGTAACTTGCCGCAGACAAAGAATAAAATCCACCACATAATCCATCCAACAATGATCCGATCATTAAGAAATATAATCCCAAACTTTCTAAAAAGTAACCGACCAATATTATGTTTAATGTGTTGATAAGTGATCCGGTGATGGCTATTATTAAGCTTATCCTACGTCCCCTCCTATCGGATAACGAACCAATGGGTCCAAGGGTGAAGAAGGCTAAAAATAGGAATTCGGAATTCATTTCGGAAGAAATATGGGGAAGGTGAAATCATTTTTTTGGGATCATTACCTGGAATGGCGGTGCATAAATTCAGGATCATCATGAATTGGGACGCCGCAGCTTGTATGTCGGCATTGTTACACGGATTATCCTCGGATGATGAATTGAGCGATAGGGAATTTGGTGAAAGTAATAGTCCATTTCCATTCCTTGAATAATAATCATTACATACCGTCGCCAAATAAAATTGTACCTTGGTTGATATGCCCAATCCAACCGTTAATGCAAATAATACATATACTGGTAATAACCAATATGCCGAAGCCGTTTGATACCATGGTTTTACATTATTAGAAATTGAAGTAGGAGATAAAAGTGGTTCCACCTCATTATCATTTTCTAAACTAGGTCGGGTATGCATTTATTTTATTTATTTATTTATTTGTCTGGTAAAAATTTTAATTTCTACTGAGATGTAACAAAAAAAAAAAAAAATTTAAAAAATAAAAAAAAAATAAAGGGATTGATTTATTTATATTCTAAAAAAGAACCAAAGCTTTTCAAGTTTTTGACATTCCCCCCTCGTGATAATTCGATCAATTATATACCAGATTTCATTAAAATTAAATTGATTAATAATTAAAATAAGTCCTCTCAAAGTTTTCGGTAACACCGTGTAATATTTCCGTAATGATATCGGATAGATTTTTAACCGTAAACTTTTAATTTTAATATTTTAACCCGATCTTTGGTAAACAGTGATTAAGTGATTTCATTCATTCTAACTTGATTTATACAACTTGTTTAAAAATATAACTATATATGCATGTTTCATTTTTAATAATCATATGTAATCGGATCATTTTACACCAATGATAAGCGATTCAGTACGATTAAAGTTTATAATTTATAAAAATTCGACGCGGGTCTAAGTCCCAATTTCAGTTTAATCTCACCGGGAAACAATTGAACCGGATTATCCTCAGATGGATTATCTAGGGATTACGAATTATGTAATAGCTTTGTTAAAAGAAGAATTCCAAAAACGGAAAACATTTATTGTTGTACGCGTGCATCTTTCGCGTAATAAATGATATAAATTTTGACATTTAGCAACCTAAATATAAATTAAAAATCCAGCTACGGATAGGCTAAATAACAATTTAATTAAATTATTTGTATCAAAAATGATCGAAGTTTGTTGACTCGCATTGTTTCCACTTTCACTTTCATTTCCAATTTTACCCTTTTCTTCTTTAACATCATCAGGAGAAGCACCAAACCCTCCTCCTTTACCTTTACCTTTCCCTTCATCTTTATCCTTATTTTTATTATCAGCTATTTTAACTTCTTTACCGGGATCAGTAATTTTTGTTCCAGATTCTTTATAAACTTTCGATGTAAGAGTTGAAAATCCCGTCTTTGTAAATACGGCCGCTTTAAATGTTATATCATTATATCCTGTTATCCATGGTGGTGTCCATAATAATTCTATCGTTTTAGGTGGCGCTTTTGTACTGATTAATGTACCATATTTGTCCCCGGGACATGAAGCTTTTTTTAAACAACAAAAAAAGTAAAATTATTATTATTTTTTATTATTTTTTTTTTTTTTAAAAAAAAAAAAATGATAATTAGGCAAGGATGATGTACAACACTTACGATCTAATGCGAAACCATTCTGTTCTTTCCATTGACCGACGTGATCTTTTGAAACTGTGTCAGCATAAATAATTAAGTTTTCTAACGGAGTTTTACATTCAATTGTTATTTTAACATCTTCTCCTTGTGGCGTATAAACATCTTTAAGTCCAATGTTAACTCTAAATATTTATTTCAAGGCATTAATTTTAAAAGGTGGAAAAAAAAAAAAAAGCAAGAAAAAATGGTAATTTACTTGAATGGAACATCTTCTACTTTTCCAAGTTTCTTTTCTGTCATCACCTTTGGATCTAATTTAAAATTTAATGTCAAGGATAATGTTCATTTATTATTTATTATTTTTTATTTTTTATTAATGGATAATATAATATTTTATTTTATTTTTTTACCAGCAAAACAAAGTTTAGCAATGGGAGACTTTGGATTGGGTGGAACTTTAGGTATTGGCCCATTTTCTTTTCCTTGAGGTTCCTTGGCCTTTCCTTTGGCAGCTGCTTTGGGTTCTTTGATGGGTGCTTTACCTTTTCCATTTTCGGTAACTACTTCTTTAGGTTCTTTTTGTGCATTAGCATTATCAATAATGCATATGATTAAAGTCAAAAGAAATAATAAAATACCACTATTTATTGTGGTTAATCTCATTATTTAATAGAGGATTATACAAGTTGAAGTTCGGTAGTGGGTTAAAAAAAAAAAGGATTTGATTGGATGTGTGAATGAGGATGGATGAGATCGAAAAGAAGGGAATTCGTAAGAAAAAATGGAAAGGGAGGGAATTTGTAAAAGAAATAAAATGTGGTAAAAAAAAAAAAAGGAGGGTATTAAATGGGAAGAGAGTAAGGAGCGTTTGATGAGAATCTAATGTAAGAAAAGAAATATATATTTTTTTACGAGAATTACCTCGTCGCCTTTTAAATAAATTCCACATTATCCAAAAAAGGAAAGACAACAATAATGCTTCTTTTTTTTCTTCTAATAATAATAAATATTTAAAGACGAGCGATTTGTTTAACTAGTACAACATAATATATTAACGATTCATACAATTTTGATTTGTGTACTAAACTACTAAAAAAGAAATTTATGCACGGATGAAATTATGGCATGATTATTTATTAAAACAAAAAAAAAAAAAAAAGACGTATGTACGTTGCGATACTTTCTTTGGAATAATGGACTTTACATGATTACATGACCAACATCATTACTTCATGCCCGTATTTGATTATTTAAGTCTTTTTTCTCCAGAATCAAAAAAAAAATAATTTCTAGTTTTTATTAAAAAATGTCTCAAACCCCACCTGAGCAAATATCAGAAAACTTTTCTGCCGAATGTACTCCAAAAATTCACGCAACGCCAACGACTCTACCCCCACCGCGCAATTATACATCAGAATATCTGTTTAAAATTTGGCAAGAACATCAATACAGTCCTACTCGACAATCCATTAAACAAGATCCAAATAAAAGAGTTCAAGGCAAGGTTATCACTTAAATAAATCATGTTTTTAAAAAAAAAAAAAAAGGTGTTAAATTTACGCTTTATAAATGTCAGAAAAGCAAGTGAAGTCCAAGCAAGAAGAAACCTCGGAAGAACAAGTTGATCAATAACTTTCAAATATAAAAAAAAATAAAAAATAAAAATAAAAATTTTACTTTGTACTTGCTGTTATTAATGCAAAGGGGAATGCACAGTTAATTAAGAATTAATTTGAACGATTTTTTTTATATGTTAAAATTTATTATTTGCAATTTGCTGTATAACAACATTCCACGAGAATCGATAAATCCAACTTTGCTCTCAACAAAATGATTAGTTTATTAAACTTTAAGAACAGATTACATAGTAAATAAGATGTACTTGAGAGAACTAATTTCGAATTTTTTTCAGGTAAATTATATAAAATAATTGAAAAGGGTTTTTATTTCAAGGGTTGCTTTCTTAACATGTAATGATTGCAAAGCAAAATATTTTTTAACCGAATTGGGGTTTCCATATGTAATAAAAATACGTATATACATTTGATAATATTTCTCTTGAAAGAGTTTCCGAAAAAAAAAAAAATCCACAAAGTTTCGGACATACGATGATAAACCTCGTGATCAATTGCTAGCATATAGAACTTTCCCTTGGTGTTTCTTAACCGGTTATTTTAACACTTTACTTGTCAAAAGTAGGTAAATTATTCAATGTAAGGTAAATTTTGATCACCTTCTTGACTTCTAGTTGCCCCGACAACTTGTCCACTAGGTTTCTGGTGATCTTCCACGCGAGAACCATGCAATTCACTAGTAATATCAAAAAACTATTCTTTTAAAAAAAAAAGAAATATGGAAAAGTTTATTTTTTTTTTATTTACCGATGAAAATCTTTATCCAATTGAACACCTGAAAAAGCTTTATCTAAAATTTCTTTTGTGCGTGATTCATGATCGTCACCTTCTTCGTCTTGCTCCTTTCTTTCCTTATCCCATTTCTCTTTGTCAGTTTCGGAAGGATCAACTTCCATCCTCTGCGTAGAAGATGTAAAACCAGAAGTGGCGGGTTGCTGTATATCATGCACATCGTGTATTGCGTTAGTCGTAGTGATTGAATCAGAAATGTCCATAAAATCTCGAGAAATTCCAATCTCTCCAGTTGTCATTGGAGTCGCGGAAGTTTTTATTTCTCTATTATGAACGGTTGTTTCCGATTGATGGGGATCATCCTTTTCTTGCGGTATCTCTCCTCTTCCTAAAATATTTTTTGTTTGCGGTGATTTTGGCATTGTTTATGAATGAAAAAAAAGAAAAAAAAGGAATAAAAGAGAAAATTTCTTTTTTTTCTTTTGCTGATCGCATGAACAAAAGCCCGCTGCCAAGAAACATTTTTATGACCGAAACTTATAAATTTGGATTTTAGCCATTGACCCATCGGTTTCCTTGTTTTGTATATGTCACCGTTTTGTCAACTAACGCCAAATTATTTCATCATCGTTTAATTTTAAGGCGTAAAAAACACGCATTGTGTTTAATAACGTCATAATTCATATAACAACGATCTACATTATAATTCGATCATTATGACCATTTTTTATGAGGTAATTGGGTAATTGAAATGCCCGCAGAAAGTGTAAAAAATATTATATATAAAAGAACGCGATGAAAAAGATTTAAAATTCAATTATTTTAATTTAATTTAAAAAAAAAAAAACCGAAATAAAAAATGACATCCGTTACAAAGCCCGAATTTATTCCTGGTGGTACGTTGATAAATTTTCGAACCTTGGATACTGCGCCATAAAACTAATCCTTCTCCTAAACGTAGGTTATCCATCTACACCAGATCAAGATGGTAATCAAGAATCTTCCCCGTTCGATTCTCAACCTAACTCTCAACCTAATAACGATGAGAGCATTCTAACAAAAGTTACAAACTTGGGCTCATCCGCTTTGGAAAGCGTTGTTGGATCAAATCCTTCTGGTAGTAAGTATGATTTGTTTTATAAAAACAATTATAAAAGATTTTGACCAATAATACTTTTTTATTGGGTTCTTTTAGACACAACCGAGAAAGATCAACAAAACAATGAGAGCATTCTAACAAAAGTGACGAACATGGGTTCATCCGCTTTGAGTAGCGTTGTTGGATCAAATCCTTCCGGTGGTAAGTTAAACGAACTCATTAAAAAGAACAAATTAGGATTATATATTTATTTCGGGCTCTTTTAGATACAACCAAGGAAGGCCAACGTAGTCCTTCATCGAACCAACAAAATGATGAGAGTTATCTAACAAAAGTAACAAACGTGGGCTCATCTGCTTTGGGTAGTATCGTTGGATCAAATCCTACCGAAGGTTAGTATAATTAACTCGTTAATTTTAAAAAAAAAATGGTAATTAGGATTTATATCGATTATATTTATTTCGGATTATTTTAGATACAACCATGGAAGGCCAACGTAGTCCTTCATCGAACCAACAAAATGATGAGAGTTATCTAACAAAAGTAACAAACGTGGGCTCAT